CTGCTCTGATGTTTCAAGATGCGTAGACAATATGACCACAACCCATTTTAGAACCCCTATAATAGCGAAAGAGTATGTGGGTTAGGGACGTTGGAAAACAACCACTTTCAGTAATCTGGACAAGCGCAAGGTTGTTCGAAACCACCCGGGAGCGTAGATGAATCATCTTATTGATTTTAGATATGAAATTAACATACATTTATCGCATCAATTCTTTTTATGTACAGACCTGGATTGAACTTGCATTGATTTTCATCCAGAAGTGGTTCATCATCTCTCGTAATTCGTGATTTAGGAATTAAATTATAATCGTTGATACTAGCATCATATATCCGACCCTATTTGAAAGAAATCATTTTTTCGTACAGTGATTAGAATAATAAGGCCACCTCTGATTGACTCTCAGTATTGTCTTTTCTTACTGAAAAATTAATGGACCTCTCAGGTTTGTATTCTTCCATTTTTCTTTGTGGATATATGGCCGAAAGTAATTCCAAAAACTTGTTTCTGGACAATCCTTCGACTTATTAGACATCCTGTGGTGAGCCTGTGTTCGATTTATTTCGAGTAGCTTTCTCAATCATTATAAAATCGCTGAGAATTTTCGCTCCGACTACATTCTAAATGCTTATATCTTGTTTGAAAATCCTTACTATTTCTCCATAACTGTTAACTGTATAGCGATGATGCCTAACCAATAGTTCATAAGTTGTAACAGCCAGACGAGTTTGTGAAAGGAACCTGCAGAAATAGTGTTTCTCGACAGGATGTAAGACATAGAGCACCAAGCAGAACTCAATAGTTTCTTTTAAACATTTAACATGAGCCTAACAACACAAAAGGAGGGAGGGTGGAGTTACTGGCCAGCAAACATTGATGGTATGGGCGATGACTTCAAACGACCCATGTTTGTGGGGCAGAACATTTTGTTTGCTTTCGGCTCTTTAGACTGATGGGACGACTAATAAGTAACGTTGAGGTTGCTCTTATACGCTTGCTACTTCTGAGGTTCATGTTTCAAAAACTATGCTGAGGTCGCTATTCTGTCGAGACACCCGCAACATTCTTACTCTGGCGCTTACTTTATGACTTAGAGGTTGGCATTCAATAATAATAATAATAAAACAGTTAGACAGTGAGAACTTTTGACAAACTCTACTCTTTCGGTTTCAACGTACGTAAATCCAGCTTTTTACTTCGACTTCTCTTCTATCGACCTGAAAGTTAACAAATCAAACAGCTGTAATCATACCACTAAGGAATCACTGTGCAGAAGGTCCAGTTGTCCCGATCAACTGCTATCTTCCTAGTCTCCTCAGTTTCTGTATACACACATTCATCCACTTTTAGACACGAGACTTGTGGAAAAGTTACTGGAACCACAAAAAGGTGCGCGCTCAGATGGCCAAAGGAAACATTGCAGTTCTGAGTGCATTTTAGGTTCCATTCTTGACAACCATATATACGCTCAATCTGTTGTTAATACTTTCCTCCTATAAGCTTACACTCACATCTCTTCAGAATATAATACAGTCTACTGTATATTCTATTGAGTAGAATGCACAGTAGTAGTTTTGTCACTAGTTCCTACACCATAAAAACTAGGAAAACTAGTAGAGGTCTTAATTCCGGAGTCAGTAATTCATCGAAAATCAAAGTTTATAGCAACGGAATTGTGGAAAAGCTCAAACCGTCACTCGAAAGTGAACCATAGAGTAGTGTTTAAAACTGAAATCATTCAACACACACACTTCCACTGGATCCTGGACATAGAAACCAGGATGACACTTACTCTCGGACTCCTACTCCTTGTAAGACTAGTTGGCAGAAAACAAATTGTAGAATAAGGCGCTCTGAAACCCTTATAACGTAGCATACTATTCAGAAAGAAGACAATGATTATATTTGTTTCGCTCGCTCATTGCCAGTTAAAACCAGTGACTCGGATTTGAATCTAACTTCTTCATTGCATGGATTCACTATCACTGCGGTACGGCAGTACCTAGACAGTACTATGTGATCATGTTAAGTCACCACTCTCCACATATCTGGTATGTTTGTCAATAGAGTGTAAGTATTAAGTTAACGAACTTAACATCAACCAAGCAAATGTCCCCACCAAAAGTAATCTGTTAATTCTCCTAAGTTAACCAATACGCCCAACAAAAGACCCATCTAACAAGTGATAAAGACAGCCGCAACTCAAGCTAATGCACCAAATAAATAACAGGCTGTTAAAGATTGACCAGTGTTTACTAAAACTACGAAGCAGTGGGTGAGCGCAAGAGAAAGAAACAGAAAAATCATAGATCCGAAAATGCTCTAAATCAGGGATAGGGACTTTAGACACTAGTTTTATTGAATGCTCCTATGCCAGATGGTAGCTCACTAAAAAGTGAACACCGAACACCTGGAACCGTACCGAACAAACAAGAATCATGTTCGATATTAGATATCGAAGTTTTTTTCAGGCTTGGTAGTACCTCACGTACTAAGGGCTTCTTTGATCCATTTCTATCTGATGCACTCCTCATCTTTGCTCAGAAACTAATCGGAGAAAAGAAATTTTCGTACCAAGGTAAATAGAACTTATGCGGGCTAGCGAATCCCAACATCAGGAGTTTCATAGGGGACTATCTTAGATCCGCAGCTCCTCCTGATATTTATTAATGACCTGTCAGGTAAAATTTATCTATTTATTTATCTAAATTAATTCATGCAGATAATGCAATAGATCTTGAGGTCCATAAGGAGTGAAGTGGGATCATTCGAGCTTCAAAATGACGTTACAAAAATAGAGATGTGGTCAGTGTACAACGTGGTAAAACTTAGCTATTCGAAATGTCATGTCATTAGCATTCTGCCCCATGCAACCCAAACAGCTTGTCCATAGAGGAAGTTCGCTTCCAAATATCTCCGAGAGAACTTAAACACCACTGCAAAATACATAAGAGGTGCAGCCGAGACTGACGCAATTCTTCACTTTACGTGAAGTTAGCTTGATGCAATCAGCCCACAATTGCTCATAATTCTCTTCAAAACATACCGCCACACCTTGAAGGTCACAATATCGACAACCCTCACTGGAATAACGAAACAAACAAATCCGTCAAGAACTGCCGACTGGCTGGAATCAGTGCAGACAACCATCCATTGGACATTTTTAGATACCTGAAACCTTGCGCAAGAACAAGAAGCACGTGAAAAGAAATCAGCTGATTTATACATGCTCGTGAAAAAGATTTCGGATATTGGATTCATCACCATATCACGAAGGGAAATCAATAGGTCAGTGAGTTTTTAATACTCTTGATGGCTTTGTATACTAAACTAGGAAGAAAGGAACATTGGATATAGGAAATCCATAACTGCCTTATAATGACCTTTCACTTTCACCTTGAGGACCATACAGATCTGGCGCCAATCAGACATTCTCAAACTTTCCTCGGTTTTCGCGACGATTGTTCTACAAACAACAGTAAGTTTAGAGTGATTATTTTCCTATATTAGAACTTTTTGAAAATTAATGTTGTGTAAGTACTGGATATTTACGATGATGTAGATTTCCCTAATTGTCGATTTAAGTTGATTTCGAGCATGTGTCACCACGCAGATTTAGTGTTTTGACTACAGAGAATATCCATTTTCGTTGTGTAATATGTAATATATTACTGGTTTACTGGAAAAATCTTTGTCCCACTATCTATAAACAGTCTGTTGAGAACCCTGTTTGTTACTAGGATTCAAATTCTAAATCAAATTTAATCTTTCACAATTCATATGTTCCTCCAGCAAATTGTTTTCACTGATATGTGAACAGCAGATACTCGTAACCTTTCAAAAATGGAAAGTAAAATATACACTGAATAAGTAATGCGATTTCCCATATACTGAACCGTTATATTTATTCATGCACGCTAGGTGGTTATAACTATGGAAATAAAATACTCACTGGTGACTTTAAAATATATCCAGAACAACTTCCTCAAGTTTTTTTGTGGCTGTAAATTTCTTCACTACTAATGTGGAAAGAACAAACGTCCCAACAGGATCACCACTAACACAAGTTATCAGTGATATTTGTAGGTGGCAAACATTCACAAGTCTGATATAGTAAGCATACCAATCAGGTGTTGATTTTAAGCTGGAAAAAGTCTAAAACATGAGTATCTTGTAGTCTTTTACATTCTAAAGTGAATTTCAATCTTATCCTATCTTGTGTCCAGTTTTGTAACTTGCTAATATAAAAAAACTCATCTTCACTGGTCATTTGTTCCTTCTACTGAGATTCATTTGCCGATCAGCTAGTCATGCACCACATAAAACCTGGTACATGTTAACGCCACTAACCCACATCACAATATGCTGTTGGGGTAGTAAAAAATTTATTAGACACAGACGATGTGATTTGAGATTAAATTTTTCAAAAAGAAAAGCGTAAAATGATCTAGCGTTTAGTATTTTAGTGAAAGCGAAGTTCAAACTCAGCCCCTTCATCTTGAACGGTTTTGAATTTTGTCAGTCATTTGGAATGGTCAGTAGTTATCACTTACCTATGCTTAGTTCATATCGATAATTGAAGTCAATTCTGCTCGTATCGAGTTTAATACCAGCTACCCATCTTACTACCCTTCCCAAACTGAAACCGATATCATTGTTCCCCTATTATAATACAGAGGTCTATCTGAATGCATAAATGTCTAAACAGGACGATATTTTTAGTCGTAACTAAATATTCTAACGTTGGGTGGATGTACTTAATGACTATTTAACAGATTTAACAGCTATTTTAAACACTGAGTGTTAAAATCAGTATGAATGTCTTTGATTTTTTTGAACTTTATTTTTACAGATCAAAACTATTAAACTGAAATGAATTCATACTACAAACAATGATAATTCACAATGATAATTCTCAAGACTTTTTCCTGCAAATAATTCAAATTGGTTTTCAGAATCATAGTCTGTAGATTACTTCGAAAAAAAACCAATCTTCAAACATGTATAAAAATTCTATTATTACACAGAAGCCAACAATGTTTAATTGTCGAATCAATAGCACTACCAGTAATAGTAGTGAAGACAAAGGAAGTATCGACAATAATTCTAGTAACCATTCAGCAAAAACTATTATGGCACAGTTTGTGTGTAGTCGGTCAAAATCTATTCAATTTACCAGTGATAATAATGATGTTACTACTGCTACTACTCATAATAATTCTAACCATCATCATAATAATAATTTAAATGATCATATGCAAATGCGCAATTCATTTGTTGATAATGCCACATTGACTACAAAAACTATTAATAATATAAATGAAAAATTCAACCTAAAAAACAATTTAATAGAACGGAATTTATTTGATAAACTTTTAAATTGTTTTCGTCCACTTATTTGTCTTATTCAAAAAGAAAAATCTTTTCCTTCATCAGATCAAGGTGAGAGTTTTTTTATCGGGTTTATTCTTGATAGATTCCTAGATATTATTATTAATATTATTTTTGTTGTATGTTATTTCGTGTTATAATTAAACAGTATGGATAATCGATTTAGAACGCGTTAGACATATCAATTTATTAACTTATTATAATACAGTATTCCATATCTTGGTTTTAACTATCTACTTGATCCTTAAGATTCGTGTAAAGTTGTGACATGGTTTGAACAAGTTCATATGACAGAATTAAAGCATGGAATGATTGGTAAATAGTACAATTAAAAAGTTGTATGGTACAATGAAGTAGTCACCAGATCACGTTTTACCAATTATAATAATCGAGGAACAGTAATCTTACATTGAAGTTCGATAGTAAAGTGACCGTATTTTATAAATTGTTTAGTTAGTAGATGTGAGTTTAGCATGAAATTTATTTTTAAAAAATCCAGTTTATGCTATCCCGATTAGTGAGCCATTTTTTAATGGCTTTTATAATTTCAATCTTTCAAAAATTACCATCATATTATAATAAAAGTATAGGAACGAAGAATATTTCTACCGTAAATCCTTTTCGGGTGGCTAGCTTTGAAGCAAATACACCGTTTAGAGGTAAAACATGTGAAGTAAGGGTTGTTTTTCAAATAAAATAAGATTGTTAATTTTGAGATGATATGATATAAAGTGTTACATTGAATAAGCTAAATGAATTGTAAGATAAATGACCAAAATAAATGTGGGTAGCATGAAGTGACAGTTAATGACGTAAATTAATCAGAATAAATAATTGGCCAGTCCGTGAATGCCCTGGTAGGACCGGGAGTGAGAAGAGTCCTCTCTCTCTTTCTCAGAATTCTTTCATGCGTATATAACAACTGCCAGAGAAGTCCTACTCACTGCCTTCTCGCAACTGAAGTGTTGTTTATGAATTTAAGCGAACAAAAAGAGTGTGTCGTGCGCTTTAACTGGGTTAGTAGAAACGGAGGATCCATCTAGGGAAATTGGAAAACCTTGATTCCAAACCAATGGTGCACATGGGCCCCAGGATCTTCACATAACTAATGGCGTCTAAACCTATTGTTGGTCACTGGATACCATGGGATCGCATCTCCTAAAGTTGCTCCACTGCCTTATGGGTTAGATCTTTGGGTCAAAGCTCAGAAAGTGACCCCTAAGAAAACCATCTGCTTTGGTTTGAGCATCTGGGTAGTATCCCAACACACTCACAAATTCAACTATTTGTGTGGCGCATAAATATTTAGGTGCCCTCTTCGTACCAATGTTTATGTGTTTAAATAAAATGAAATATAAAAATATTTGACCAAGAGCTACGTAAAATGTAGAATAATGTCAATAAGGTAAGAATTAATAAACAAGAATGGGTGTTAAATAGATTTTTCAAAACATTTGCAAGTTTTATGATAAGATATATGAATGAAACTAAGCTATAAAAATGTAAAGAGGAAGGCTATATCTACATCATCGAATCATATCATCATATCATCAGAATGACTGAACTAGAAGTTATAGAGGAACAAAAGTAAGAAATTGTTTGTAAGTCAGTTCAAGTACTTTTTATTGTTTAAGTTTCCTCTCAATAATCTGTCTATTCCCTTTATAGGCAAATTATGTATAAAAGCTACTCTACCTCTATTTTCTTCCTTATATATGAATTAGTTGGATATACTTTATTAAATCTCTTGAAAGTCTCTGCCCGATCACTATGGTCTGTACAAAGAACGAAAGTATCGTCTATATATCGGTAGTAAAATAAAGACCAGTATACCGTTTTTAGTTTAACAATTGAAATCTCAGAGAATATGGGATCTAGTGGTAAACCCATTGAGACATCATCTGTTTTTCATATATTTCCCCATTAAATATGAAGTTTACGTTCATAATATATTATAGTAATAACGCCTTAATCGTTCCACCGAGAATTATAGTCTCAATTTTTTGCCTTTTAAGATATATTCGGTAGTTTCCCTGAGTGCGATATTTATAAAAAGTGATGCTACATCTAAAGACATCATCGTTTGTTCTTGAATGTTTACGTTTTTGATTTTGTTAACAAACGGAAATACTGTCTTAATATTATGCTTCACTAAATAAATGTTTGTGGAGTGATTTTAAAATGGTTGATAACCACTTTGCTATAATATAATGAGAAGAATTGTACATATCCAAATTTGGTCTCAATGGAATATTCGGGCTATGCACCTATGGTAATTTGTAAAACCTTCGTAAACGAGTGCCTATCGGCTTAATGGTTTTATAAATTTTTGATGAAACAATTTTGATTTCTAGGCTTTTTTAAAGACCTGGTCAATTCATTCTCCATATCATTACTGGTGTCTTTTTAATCGCTTGACTTTGGGAATTTTAGATGGTCAGTTAAGACGTTATTCGTTTTGACAATATAGTCTTATTGATTTCGTGTGCTGACAGGGGTATGAGGATGGATATCACTTCCCGGCTGCCCACACCATGGAAGGGTATTTCTTAAGGGACCTAAAAAGGAAGCTGGTTTAGTTTTAGTCTTAGTGATCTGAGAGTCTGACCGAAGAGCCCAACGGACAACTTCTTCAGGCCGGTGACGCACAGCCTTCTTATGGGACATTTTTATCGTATTACGTGGGCTCTTCAAAAGGCCTGACCACTGGAGACGGAAATCCGTAGGGTTAAGTTGAAATGTGACATTTTTAGGCTAGACGTTTTCTGACCCCTTCCTTTCGCTGTGAGAAGGCAGCATTACTTCAGATGCTGACTGCCACACTCCTCTATTGTCAACAATACAACTTCCCCTCAAGTTCCTGCTTTTAGTCAAACCGTTTTTCAACCGGCCTGCCTGGCATTGTAAGACCTAAAGAATCATGTGTTCCATCCAACATAGCTCGTTTGGGTCGCCACGATAAGCAAGCCCGATCACTATGTCAAGGTAACTGCTATAATTGGGTGTAAAACAGTTTTTAAGAATAGAGAATTTTAGTAGGTTACTAGTATTCAATCATAGGTGTCTTAGAAGCATTGTTCATGTATTCTGGGGCTATCATGTAAGCAATGCTGTTGTTAGGAAAAAGGTACTAGGTAAGGATGGCAGATCGATAGATGAAGTAGTTAACTTAAGTCAGTTGGGGTGGTTGGGACACATGTCCAACTGCCGACTGCCTCGGCGAGCGATGTCTGATGTAGGAGTAGGTGGAAGTAAGCTAGGGGTTGCCAAACTAAAATGTGGCACAAATCCATAAAGTCACTGACAACGGGACTATGTTAGGAGGTGTAGACTACCTAGTTGCAGTCCGCCAGATGATAGTAATCGATGGTTAAAGACTGAGCGATATGACTCAAACTCGCTTGCAATGGCACAGATGAGTCCATTCTTTGTCTTTAAAATTATAATCTTCTGAATTCCCCACGACCATTCGATTTTTTTTAAATTTATTTAAATGGATTATACTTCTGGACTAATTTCTTCGACCCCTAATCTTTTCGGTTGCCGCTAATACTGCTACAACCTTTACTACTATGGGATTTGAAGTGACAATTCAATCCGTGTACGCTAGTGTTGTGTGACAACTTGAACGTTGTAACTGATTGACTAAACAGGGATTATACGTCGGAAACATGATACATGTAAAAAATCCAAATTTCTCTTCAAACCGATGGATTACTTGTACATTCATTGTAAGGTGATTTCTTGATTTTAGTAAAAATAATATGTCGTATGATTAAAAAACGCATTAATTATTATGATGAAGTATTTTACCGTAAATGTTTTGTGACTTTTATGAGCTAAAAGCTTAGAAACAGCTTAATCAAATGATAAAAGACAGAGAAATCGTAGACAAGATCAAGAATTACACCAAGGCGAAATGTAATCAAGATAAATATCTAGTCATTAATTGAACACATGTTGGAAAAAACCAATCAATTTTTAATGTTAATTGAACAAGTTTTCAGTTACTAATGGTGAAATTTAAAAATTCAAGTGGTTCGAAATCTCTCCTTTGGCCGAAACTCAAATGACAATAGCATTTTTACTTTACGTATGCTTGTTACCCCTAGTGGAGCATAGACCACCGACCAGAATTCCCCGACGTACTCTGTCCTGGGCCTTCCACATTCCATATACCTATATTAATGGTTTCTCTGGTTTGTTAGAAGGGGCATCGGCCTCTTGACTTCCTTATGAACTCAGCTTTCATCACGAGACGTCATAACCCTTCTAAATGAAGACCTTCTAACTCCCAGGGCAGAGTTTGGATGGTTCGAATTATTTTTTTTCTGGTTAGCGTTTTCTAGCGAGCAGGATGGAACCACTAAATACATGCCCAACCTTCCCCTTTTATCCAGCAGTAGCCCAGAGGGGCTGCATGCTGAGTTAAATGACAATACCAACAGTCAAACAATTCACAAAATCACTCGTACATCGACTACATTTAAAAAAGAGAATGAATTTTGATACAAAGCTTCATTAAATAATGATTATTAAATATACTGCTGTGTGTCAAATCAACTGTGTGAAATTCAGTATAATGTTCTATCATTTTACAATTTCACTTTTCTCTTCATAACCAACGCTAAAGTTTTGGTCATTGCGCCAAACTTATTATCAAGTAACTGTCATTGATGCAGTTGGAGGGCACGGATCGGCAAAGCAAAGACTGCATTTCTACAATTTAAAAATATCTGGAACTCCAGACAAATATCAATCAAAACCGAAATCAGGATTTTCAATACAAATGTCAAGACAGTTCTACTATATGGAGCGGAAACTTGGAGAACTACCAAAGCCATCATCCAGAAGATACAAGTATTTATGAACAGTTGTCTATGCAAAATACTTCGGATTCGTTGGCCCAACACCATCAGCACCAACGTACAGTGCGAGAGAACAAACCAGATTCCAGTGGAGGAGGAAGTCAGGAAGAAGCGGTGAAAGTGGATAGGACACACTGCGAAAAGCACCTAACTGCGTCACAAGACAAGCCCTCACACGGCACCCTCAAGGTCTAAGGAAAAGAGGAAGGCCAAGGGACACATCACGCCAAGAAATAGAGACATGAGAAGCATGAACAAAAATTAGACAGAACTGGAAAAGGAAGCCCAGGACAGAGTAGGTTGGAGCACACTGGTTAGCATCCTACGCTCCATTGGGGGTAACAGGCGTAAGTAAGTAAATAAGTAAGTAACCTTCATTGAATTTATATATATATATATATATATAAATCGCCAATGAGCTTCTTTTTTGTCTGATAAAACTATAATATTGTATTCTATTAATATAATTCTTAAAATTTCATCACATATTATAATTCTTATCATTATGCTGTTAAATAATCAAGATCTACCATGGGAAGTTCCATTTGAATCAGTGACCGATTTAATATGGATTGGATCTGGTGCACAAGGTGTAGTTTTTCGTGGTTGTTTTCGTGATGAATTGATTGCAGTGAAAAAAGTCAATAAACAATCTGATACAGATATTCGTCATTTACGTTATTTAAATCATCCAAATGTGATTAAATTCAGGTAAGAAAAAAAAAGAAGAAATAAATTTTGTTGATTTGTTTTTATCGAGAAATAGTTAATTTGTTGTTGTTGTTGTAGTTGTTATCTGGTGTTATTAATTTTTTATGGGAATGAGACAGACAGATAGACAGATACAACGCAGAACTTCGTACGTAAGTACATCAGTTTAGGTTGCCATACCACATGGGAATGATCTATGTAATTATTCATTTATTTATTTGCATATATAAATGTTAGTGCAAAAGAGCGCTCAAATCTCTATGTGTTACACAAATTAATGAAATAGTGAGTGAGCTGGAATACTGCCCGGACGCCCAAATCCCGAACTAGATGGTTTTCCCAAGAGGTCACCACTCCCCGATCCTTTGACCCGAAAATCCGATCTACAGGGCAGTGGGATAACGTTAGAAGATGCAGTACAATCATGGCCGGTGACCAGAAACAAGTACATACGTCATTAGTTACGTGAAGATTCTGGGGCCGGTGTGAATCATTGGTTTGGAATGAGGGTTTTCCAACTCCCCTAGATGGACACTCCATTTCCACCAACCAGGTTAAAGAGTAGGATACTCGCTTTTTGTCCTCTCACTTTCGTAAACAATACTCTGGCTAAGAGAAGGCAGGAAGTAGGACTTCCTTGACAGTGGCTATATACGTGAGGGATGGAGAGAGGATTCTTTTCACTCTCGGTCGCACCGGGGCATTTAAGTGCTCTTCTAGGAATCACTTTCCTTTATATCGAAGACTAAGTGAAATGTAATGGGCAATTTATTTGTCACAGCCTTTAAATCTCATTAAACAGACAACATTTACTGTTTGTGAGGTTGATATTAAGACTTCAGTAAGTACGTTGTCATTGAGCTTTTAATTTCAAACTTCGGTGATTAACACTTACAAACTGTCAAGTAGCTTTTATTATGGACTGATCTTAGTGAAACAACCATTGAATATCAGGAAGCAGTGGACAGCTGTTTCTTCCTTGTATCGAACTCCTCTACAGTACTCATCCACTGCAAGGGTTCAAATCTAGGGTAGTATCTCAGTTTTCAGATCATTGCTTTAGGATCCAATAATTTACATATCGAACTGTAATAGTTCACTCACTTTTTTCGACAATCATTATCCAATTCCATTGATGCGTTTACTTACTTACTTACTACCTTACTCTCATCATACATAAACTATATTGATCATGACTTCACATTAAAACTAAAAATGACCTACAAAAATTAATTAACCGGTGTAAACAAATGTTTATTACTATAGAATAGAATATTTTTGATGAATGTTCAATTTTTTTAGTTTATATCACACAAAATGATGATGTCAAAGTTTGTAATGATGCCAAATACTGAATAGTTGTCTTTCTTTTTCATTCTCAATGACTGATCTTGTTATTGTCTTATTCTCGGACTCGTCAATTTCATGTAACTAAACTGTAGTGTTGATATTCACCCTGGGACTTGAACCCCAATAACCTCCGCTTCAAAAGTCCAACACGTTATCCACTTAGTCCTTACTTACGCCTGTTACCCCCAATGGAGCATAGGCCGCCGACCAGCTTTCTCCAACCAACTCTGTCCTCGGCTTCCCTTTCCAGTTCTGTTCAATGTTTGTTCATTCCTCTCATATCTTTCTCTATTTCTCGGCGTAATGTGTTCCTTGGCCTTCCTCTTTTCCTTTCACCTTGAGTGTTCCATGTGAGGGCTTGTCTTGTGACGCAGTTTGGTGCTTTTCGTAGTGTGTCCTATCCACTTCCACCGCTTCTTCTTGATTTCCTCCTCCACTAGAATCTGGTTTGTTCTCTCCCACAGCACTTGGTCCTACTGAGTTCAAATAATCTCTGTTCTATGCAATGAGGTGAATGTTCACTCTTTTTCATTAATTATTTCAATCTTCTCAGTGTTATATTAAGAACTGTAATTATTATTCATTGTGTAAATATTGACACGGAGTACAGTTTACATCCAACTGTCTAATCTCTAAATAAGGCACAACGCACATTGTGGATTCCACCGCTAACCGTCATCCAACTCTACTTAAATCGTGTATGACTGAATGACAGTATCGATTCAGTCTGCACAAAATGCACTTACGCTAAAAGAGCCACTGAACATTAATCAATACATTGTACTGTACAATTGATTTATTCTCTCTTGTGATAATTCTCATTAGCGCATTATCTTCAATAACAGATTCAATTAGAATTCAGCATTCCTGTTAGCTATAATGAGAACATTACAACGATTAGGCTAACCTAGTTTATATCAGTCATTTGACAGCTAATCTTAATTAACGATTAAAATAGTTTGTATATATATTTAATATGGTTGTTGTTGTTGTAGTGACTATGGTAACAAAACTTTAAATCCATGATACTATGGTTTCCTTTTCTTCTTTGACTCTTTCCCCCCCTGAATACTCGGAAACATTAGCTATTCAAAGAATATTTACTTGATGAAGACCTCCAAAAGAATTCAAACTAAATTTGAGTTCATTCAATTTTATACCAATGAAATTCACTGATTATTAGTCACAGCAATTATTGAACTACTAACCAAAGGACAAGTCTATTGTGCTTCAGTTCGCTTCGTCCTACTTTACGATTGCGAAACATGACCAGTAATGGTGGAAGATATTCATAGTCTACTAGTATTCGGTCATAGGTGTCTTTGGAGCATTGTTCGAATATCCTGGGACCATCGAGTAAGCAACGCCGCTGTTAGGGAATGAGTACTAACTAGGGATGGCATATCAATAGATGAAGTATTGAAGTTGATATCACTGATAACTGGATTGAGTCATGTTGATAGGTGTAGACTACCTGGTTGGGGTCTGCGAGATGATAGTAATCGATGGTTAGAGATCTTGAATGACATGGCTCAAAACTGTTTGCAATGGTGCGTGTACATCCATTCTTTGAGTCCTCTCAAATTTTAATCTTTTGAATTCCTCATGATCATTTGCTACTTTTAAATTTATTTCACTGACTTATACCTAACTATCATGTAAACGTTATCAACTACTGATGAGACATTAAATCAATGTGAAAATTTACTTTACTTTACTCATTTACGCCTGTTACTCTCCGTGGAGCATAGACACGCCACTGACACACTAGGATGCTCCAATCAACTTTCACCTTAGGCTCTGCTTTCCAAGTTATTCCCATATATTAATTACTATTCACTTCATTTCTTCTTACTAAATGTTATATTTTTTGAAAATTGAACATTTATTTCTAACCAATCTCTTTCACGAAATTGATTGATTCATTCATTCATTCATTCATGCATTTTTTTTCTCATAGAGGAGTATGTGTCGAACAACCATGTTATTGTATATTAATGGAATATTGTCCATATGGTCAATTATATGAAATTATTCATTCTGCTAATCCAATATCACCATCTTTAATTTGTTCATGGATTAAACAAATCGCTAGTGGAATGCATTATTTACATTCATGTAAAATAATTCACAGAGATTTAAAATCACCAAAGTAAGTTTTTACATGATTTATATACATACGGTACTATACTATACTATACTTAAGTAAATATGTACACATGTATATTTAAGTATTTTTGCACTTTTATTATTATTATTTACATTTCAAAGATTTATTGTTTGATTTGTTAAAGCCTCCATTCATTCTTATAATTCAAATTTATGTAGTTGTTATTGTTTTACCTCTCGATTGTATTGATGGAGTAGTGAATCTTGATCGATCGAAGTGGTTGGTACATGTTTGATGTATATATATATATATATATATATATATATATATATATATATATATATATATATATATCCAACCACCTCCTACCATGACGTGTGATATTGTTGTCTGATTTAAGATTAGGTTAGAAGATAGGTAAGGTCAATCAACAAACCACAATGTGGCACACTTCACATTACCAAAAAGAGAGAAAGTATATGAACAAGAAGCGCAAACGATAGGACTTAATTTTCAACTGATACATTTATCGCAACACGAAAGTTCTAAAGGAATAAATCAGGTCTTTGGATTTGTCCGTTTTGCCTCATTTTTATTTAATTATCTCATAGATATAGCATTAAAGATAACAGGTCCATCGTCTAACTTTCCAGTGGTTAACCTACTAAGAGATTCACTTGTTGACTTGAAATACCCTGATGATATAGTTTTGTTTAGCGAGAATGCTGGCAAAATGCTGTCTTGTGAAAAACCTTAAGTAACAATTCATGCATGTTTGGGACAAGGCATAAGTCAATGATAGAATTAATGATAGGGAGTAAAGTAGTTGAGCTTATAGATTGTTTCATTTACTTTGCGAGCTTCACCGGTCTTAATGTGGCACCAGCAGTCTATGAAGTCACTGACAATTGCATTAAGCTATGTTCACAGGTGTAGACTATTTGGTTGGATGGAGCCCGTGTGATTATTGTAATCAATGCTTGGAGACTTTGAATGACATGACTCAAAAATGTTTAAAATAATGGTACAGGTGAATTCATTCTTTGTCTTTCTGCGAATTCTAAGTGTCTGAATTCCTAAAAATATGTTTATTTTACTAATCTATACTTTCTTGAATCGTATACTCAATGACGAATGTTTTTCATTACCGTTGATACTGTTATTACGTCTACTATTCTGTGATTTGACCTGATAAGTTCATCTCGCTGTGTTGATAGGGTGTGGCAACTTGAACCGATGTATACATTCAGTTAGTAAGTTACAACGTAGAACTTCGTAAATATGTACATAAGTTCAGGTCGCTATACTACACCAGCACAGAGACGCAACTGTCACTTCAAATCCCATAGTGGTAGAGATAGTAAAATTATTAGCAGTAATGGAGATTAGGGTTCGATGATATGATTCGAGAATAGGAGAAAACACAATGAATGAATGCACCTGCACCATTGGAAACGATTTTGAGCCATGTCGTTCAAGGTCTCTAACCATTGGTGACTTTCGTCTCGCGGACCCCAACCAGGTAGCCTACATCTACCAACATGACTCAGTCCACTTGTCAGTGACTTCAAGGACTTCTGCCATGTTTTGGTTTGGCCGCCCCTAGCTTTCTTCCAACCTACTCCTACACCACAAAACAGGGCTCGTCGCGGCAGTCGGTGGTTAGGTGGTCATTAAAAATTCCCAGTCATCGCTGATCTCGGTTATCACATAGACTTTCTAAAGAAGAAGTCAGCCACTTAATGGGAATAATGTCATATCTTGGTCTGCTCAACTGTAATTTTCTCTCAGTCGACTCCTATAATAGTCAACATTGCACGTTGAAGTAGGAGGTGGTTGAAAATTATATCTGAATTACCATGTCTATCGATAAAGTATCACAACTTCGTCATCCGATCTCGCATCTTTGCTTAGTATCTTTTCCTATCTTTAGAATCGCTTACTAGGTCGTTGCATTCTATACACGAATAATGCTTCAAAATGATAGAATTTCATATATGTGTATATATATATATTTTTCTCTCTTTTTCAGTGTTTTAGTCGGTTATAATCATGTATTGAAAATATCCGATTTTGGTGCATCTCGTGAATGGACAGAGAATTCTACTAAAATGTCATTTACTGGAACTGTTGCTTGGATGGCACCTGAAGTAATACGTAATGAACCGTGTTCATTTAAAGTTGATGTATGGTAAGTTGATAAAATCTATTGAATCTTAGGTGTACCTTATTACCTGTAGTTTATGGTATGCATGTAGATTTAAATACGAACGGTTGATATACAATACTTCAACAATTATTTACTAATACAAAAGCGTTAGCGTCTTTTTTTCCGGCGAGTTAGTTTTCTACAGGAATGGGGTCACTAACCTCCGTTCCCAACCCTCCTGTTTTATCTGGGCCTGAGACGACCAGCTGTAACCCTGGAAGGGTTGATACAAAAAGAAGATAGAATAGGGATGAGATCTCGTGTTTAAACAGCATCAGCAAAACCAACTTGAAGAATTACAACACAGTATGTATAATATAATACCGAAAACATAACCTTCAAGCATAAAGTTTGGAAGCCAAAAAAATAGTGGCGACCAAACGGAAATAAGCAAAGGTCATGCTAAGTGTTTTTAGTAGTGAAAGTTTTATATTATTAACAAAAATAGAATAATCCTGTGATTGATCACTTGAAAATATAAATTGAAATAGGTTTATTTTTGTACTGCTATGTATTGGTTTGCAAACCTTTTTAACATCACAGCGATGAACATTGTTCTACAAACTATAAGATATATTTCTTACATTATGAAATCATGGAGATCATTGATTTACTCATAAATCATGAATAAACTATCGTTAGACCATCATTAGAAACTTGAAAGCACAGGACAGCCGTTTCGTCCTATTATGGGACTCATTAGCAGCATTAACAACGTTGCATACCGACTCAGTGGTCCAGGGGTTAAGCGTTCGCGCGCAAGACCGAAGGCCCTGAGTTCGACTCCTGCGGATAGCAGCGGTTGTGGATGCGCACTACTGATGAGCTCCATACCAGGACTAAACAACTATCCAATGCTTTCAGGTCTCTAATGCTAGTCTAACAATGATTCATTCATGATTCCTATGTATAAAATATGTATAACACATCTTTATATGATGTAACGTATTCTATGTCTGTACAGAAATTCGGTAATTTGATCTGGTAGGTTTCTTTTATTTTAATGGCTTTATGTTTGCATTCGGTTGAAAATCTCTCTCATGTTAGATGATATTTAATATATAGCAGTTAAATTAAATTTTTATTAAATGATCAAAAGTAATTTGTTTTAAATTGAATTTTTCTTCTTTATTTATTTTCAAGGTCTTATGGTGTATTGTTATGGGAATTATTAACTGGTGAAATCCCTTATCATAATGTTGATTCAACTGCAATTCTATGGGGTGTTGGCAGTGAAAATCTTCGTTTACCAATTCCAATGACATGTCCTTCAGAATTACGTGTTCTAATGAAAACATGTTGGTAAGTGAATTATTTTTTTTCACTTACTAATTTATTTAATTTTTTTCCTTTCAAATTATTAACTTTAAAAACCTGAAAGCACTGGACGGCTATTCCATCCCGTCAGAGAACTCATCAGCTGTGCGCATCCACAACTCCTGCAACTCGCAGGAATCGAACCCAGGACCTGTGGTCTCGTTAGCGAACGCCTTCACCTCCAGACCACTGAGCAGGCATCCAACAGTGTTCACATTCAACTTCGATCGATTCATGGTCTTGCGTAACATCATCCACTGTCTTCAGTGAGCGTTGCTTCACACCCAAGCACGGTTGAACCTCCACTGGTCATGACTTCTCAGTAGAACTTGGAGAAACCTCCTCACGGAACCAGTCACTAGTGACCACATGATAATTGTCACTATAGGGACAGTGGAGATTATTGAGTTACTTTGAAATCATGAATTGATCAATCAATTATTTTGATAATAGAAGCATTTCTATTGTTAAACTTTTATAAAATGAAAATATCTTTTGTATTTTCATAGTGTAAAGTGTATAAAATTGTGAAGTTTTCCATGTTATTATATTTATTATTGTTATTATTAAAAGTTCCTTCTTTTTCTTCAATGACGTATTAATGTCACGAATATTCACGGCTTAACAATGCTTTATAATCAAAAGAACTCTATAACCTAGTTAAAACAAAAGTCAAGAATGAAGAAGATTGGAGATATATCCGGTAGATAGTTGGCGCGTTAAGAAATATAGAAATCTAAGCTAACTAACTGTTGCAAAAGGGAGGGTTTGTAGCACAGTGTATCTAATGATCAGATCTGATGCGCGCATACTTAACCGCGTGCTTTGAATTTCAGTGGTCAGTAAATTTCTTAACTAATAGGGAATAGTGACCAGAATAACTTTGTTTTTTATTAAAATCATGAGTCGACCATTGTTAAACCATCATTAGAAACCTGAAAGCACTGTATGGCAACTTCATGCTAGTATGGGACTCATCAGTAGTGCGCGTCCTCGACCTCCGCCTACGGGAATCAGACCTAGGACCTTCGGTCTCGCGCTTGAACGCCTAACCCCATAGACCACTGAGCAGGCATCCAACGATGTTACTATTTAAATTTGATCAATCTGAAGTATGGCGAAACTGTACCTGTTTTATTCTGTAGATACCTGCCTCACACCAGACAGGGTTCAACTCCATTGGTTTTAATAAAAATCTCAAATCAAAATAGAATTAAATTGGCTACCTAAAGTTAACATCCAGGGTTGTGTGTGTGTTTCCTTTTTCTCAACAGACTGTGATGTTTTAATTTTCGAATAGCCAAGGCCTCCATAAACCTCAAAATTCGTGCTTATACATTTCTATACAATGTGTTGAAGGCTGTCTTGATGTCAATCTTATGCCCTGTCTCAATTATGTGTTTTGCTATCGATAAACATGGTTTTCTATTTCCCACGCTAATCGGCTCATCTGACATTAACTGATTTCGAAGTCACTTAGGAGCATGTTCTATAACCCTTGATTGCAAAGTCCGATTACTCCTCTCTATGTATGTGTGTCCACACAAACATGTAAACCGATAAATGCAGTGGGATATGATGTAATCATTCGAGCAATATTTAGGTCTATTTGAAATCATGAGCTTAGTCTTTTCAATGAATAATCAGTTTAGCAGTGTTGTATGTTTTCTCTATGGCTGCTTCTAGTCACTGTCTTAAGATTAGACCATTTGTTTCACCTTTAAATGGTCAAGTGATATAAACCTTTTTCTTCTCAACAGAATAAAAAATAACACAGACTTTTGCCTCAACAAACTATGATGTAATTACATTCAAACGAAATTTACAAAAATCTCACCACAATCTCTTGTTGTTTTATCATCATATTATGCAAAATAAGACATCAAAGTAAAACAACTTCCCAAATAGGCGTTTCCCATTTGTTTACCTATTAAAACTACGTAATCTTAGTCATTTTTTTCAAAAAAAAACAAAACAAAAGAATTCATTTTGACTAATTATAATATTGAAATAGATTTCATTTCATTTTTTTAAAGGTTAGTTTGAGTATAATCATAGTAAAGTTTTGATTTGTGCTATTTTCTTTTACCGTACACCTACCTACGTATGCTTGAATTGAGTTACAAAACTTGTTAGTTAGTTTCACAAAGCCTAAATATGGTTTCATTGAATCACTCTAGTTTGTAATTTAGTTCCGATACCTTGAAAATCAATTCAAAAGGTTCGAATCCCCAACAGTCAGTCAGTCAGATGCAACGTAGAACTTGGTACGTAAGTAAATCAGTTTATGTTGCCATACCACATCAGCACAGAGAAGTAATTGTCGATTCAAATCCAATAGTAGTAGAGGTAGTAAGGGAATTAGAAGTAATCGGAGAGGTTAGGGTTAGAAGATACTACTCAAGAAGTATGATTCAGTGAGAAAAGTTTAGAGAGTCGAAACTAGCGGTGTTGAAGAATCCAGAAGATTAGGATTTGAGAGAACACAAAGAATAAATGCACCGGCGCCATTGCGAACGATTTTGAGCCATGTCATTCAAGGTCTCTAACCATCGTTTATTATCATCTCGCGGACCCCAACCAGGTAGTCGACAATTACCGACATGGCTCAGTCCACTAGTCAGTGACTTCATGGATTTCTGCCATGTTTTGTTCTGGCCGCCCCTAGCTTTCTTCCAACCTACTCCTACACTACAAAACAAAGCTCGTCGAGGCAGTCGGTGGTTCGGCATACGCAAGATATGTCCCAACCACCTCAACTGATGAAGTTTCACCACTTCATCGATTGATCTGCCATCCTTGCCTAGTACTCGTTTCCTAACGACAGCATTGCTTACTCGGTTGTCCCACGGTATACGAGCAATGCTTCGAAGACACCTATGATCGAATCCCCGACCTAACCTGATTTGGTTTCAGTAAGTATGTAGTATTGTTTACGTAAGTATGAAGACCTGTAATTGGTTTTCTAGGTATGTTTAGATATCTAACCTAAGTGAATGAATGAAGTAACTTTTGTACTTTCGAAACCCAATCACTGTTTATCGTGACATGTGATGTTGGCTAGTGTATCAATAAGTTAGAAACAGTTGTGGTGCGAGCTACTTATAAGTAGTATATGACGTGAGTGTAAACGTAATATCTGGCAGCAGAAGATAGGGGAAGATCAAGAAAGGAAGAGTTAGAAAACAATGGAATTTGTATGAAACGCATGAATAGTGCCAATGGATCGATGTTTTGCAACAGGAACAGTCCAGTTCGATATGATAAACTGATATTTTGCAATTTAACGATTTATGGTATGGTTTTCAGATTTTACTGAGTAACTCTGTAATTTTCGTTAAATACAATTCGGTTGTCCCACCTGTGTTCTCGTTCACTACACAGTAAACTATGGAAAGTCGAATTAAAACATGATGTGAGTCTACAAATTCATTTACTGTTAGACTGTACCATATGGTTAGATTGAGACTAGTTGGTTGAGGTCCTTATAATTATACTAATCAATGATTAGAAATGTTAGATAATATATCTCAGGATCAGTTGGAATGGCAAAGTTGCATCCACTATTTTTTTCCACCCTTAGATCTTGAGTTCCAAAGTTTTCCTGTCTTTTTTACTCCACGAATCCATTTCTCTTTTCCTACTATACGGATGTGAAAGATGACCAGTAAGGTTAGAGGATATTCATTGGCTACTAGTATTCGATCATAGGTGTCTTCAAAGCATTGCTCGTATATCCTCGGACCATGGAGTAAGCAATGCTGTTGTTAGGAAACGGGTACCAGGTAAGGATGTGGCTATCTGATAACTGCACCCCCCACAAGAGATCGTATCCAATCTAACAATATTATAAACTCAGTCTCAATGTCGTATTATTGTAGTATAATAATATTTCAAACAAGGGAGAATAATATTTTTTTTCAAAAATTCCGTTCGTTATATCACTAAGTCACCCTTTCTCCTATCAATTAAGACTGATTTTTTTGTACATCGTAACCTAGAAAAATCAAAAACTAATCATTGTTCAGTTTGACTAGCAAAAACACTTGATCGGTTTCACTAGTCTACAACTACTTATATAAGCTAGTAGTATATTTCACATTAAAATCAATCGTTGATCTTTTCACTCATTCAGTCAAGTTATTGCTCAAATGAGAGCCCGACACGTATATGAAAATTGACTCAATTCACCCGTGTCACATTAACACAACAAAATCAATCATAATCTCATGGTTTATTTATTATTTAGAATTTGACTGATTACCTACCTTTCTTACATCTTCAGACCATAATCTTTCCGATGACTGTTCATACTTCTACAACCTCTACCACTGTGGGATTTGAATTGACAATTTGATCTCTCTGTATGCTAATGCAGTATGGCAACACGTTGTAGCTGACTGATTGACTGATTTTCGTCAATATAATCTTATTCTCTTATTCATCCAACTATTATTACTAAATTACAGTAATTCCAGAGTGTACGTGTATGACAGAGAAAGCGAGTGAGAGAGATAAATGACCAAAATCGAGAAATATTATAATGAATTAATCGCCAAACTATTTGGCTATCTATCTGTTTTACCGATCCACCTACTCATTTATTCATTCATCATTAGTACACACACACACACACACACAAAATCTTGATATCTTTTTCATTTTTATTCATAAAACCAAAATGTATCTACGTGTTATACAACAGAGTTAGTTGTATGTGTTTACTTATTGTATCTGTGTTGTTTTTGTTTAGTATTACAATATTATGCTCATTTTTATTCTCGAGTTCTAAAATTGGAATTCTCATATTATATAAATCTATACACAAACTGTGTAGTAGTAGTAGTGGTACAACTGGTGGCCTGATTATTATTATTATTATCATCATTATTTGTTCTCTTCTGCACAAAGAGTATTGATACTACGGAATAATAATAATAATGTTAAGAGGTGTGAATATTTGATCAGTGTCACTCATTCATTTT